GTTGATTGCTCGAGGACGAGCAATGGTTTAAGTGTGGGGTGTTGATGATAGGCTATAATTACGTATTTTAGTCGATTATTACACTCTAATTTACTGCACTTTAGTTGAGTTTGCGCTTTAATCGCTAGTGTTTTGCACTAATTGTGTGTTTTATACCTTGTAGGTGTGATTCCGAGCTATATAGATGTTATGGAATGAATTTAAGTGGTTTGGAGCTTTGAAGTCTGAGTAAGAGCTCAAGGAATTAAGCCGGGATCGTGTTCGGGGATCAACGGATGATAAAACAACAAAACGAAAACTCGAAGAGGCATATTGTGCACTGTCTAGTAACATAGACATAACTCTTTTCTCAGAACTCCATTTGGGCTCCATAATATATAGTTGGAAAGATAACTCAAAGGGCTACAACTGTCATGTTTTACAGTTTTCCAAATTCCAAACGGAACAGGGTGAAAAATCGCGGTTATGGTAGGACCGCGGCAGAACCGCGGCAGAAGGCAGTCACGGACAAATGAAGAACCTGAGAGGGTGTTTGGCCGCGGTTTCGGCGCGACTGCGGTGGAACCGCGGCAGGATGCGTAAATTTCAGGTACCAAAGTGCAAAACACTGGATTTTAAGCCCTAAACCCTATATTAAACCAAGGAATCCGGCCAAGAAAAGGAATTGGACATATTTTTGACATAGGTTTGACCTAAGGAGGCAGAGACACAATAGGAGCAAGGCTTGGGAATTCTTCTACAAGTTTTTTCTTTCATCTTCCTATTTTCATTGTTGGTTATGACTTTTAGTATTGTAGTTTTACATACTATTATGAATAGCTAATTTATTATCTAGAGTTTTGATATAACCTTTTGTAGGATAAATTCTTGTTATGTTTTTATATAATTGAGCCGTAGTATAATCTCTATTTGTTCAACTACGTTCTTATTGTAGATAATTGAAGAGCTCTCAATTAGCTGTGCCTATTTAGTATGCATAACTCGGAAGAGAGTGCATATTTAGGTAATTGTTGAACAATACCACTTCCAGAGTATATGAGGGATCAATAACCGAGGGTTTAAAGGCGGGATTAGGGATAACGAAGCCTTGGGTGCGATCTGAAGTGAGCTGTATCAAAAGCCAGCTAGCGTAGCTCGGGAGAGTGCGTCTAGTAAATTGTCGTGATTACTCGGGAGAGATTTACGGTATTAAGAGTGCTCATGATCGGTAGAGAATACTTAGGCGAAATTATAGAACATAGCGGGAAGGATTCCGACAATTGGGGAAATCATAACTCTAGACCTCCTTAATCTTGTCTCTAACTCTTAGTATCTTTAGTTGTTAATTTATTATTTTAATTTGTTAATCAATTAGTTAAACACAAGAATCTAAATATTTATAAGTTAGGAATTGTTCAAGCTTGTCTTCTTGGTGATAGTGAACAGATGTAGCTAAACCTTAGTTCTCTATGGGATTCGACTCCGGACTTGTAAACCGGATTATATTTGCAACGACCGCATTGTCCTTTTTATAAGGCATAGTTGGGCGTGATCATACTTCAAGCATTGATGGTAGGTTAATGAAACCACTTTGTTTTCATGTATCATGGTCTTCCTAACAAGATATTATATGAGGTCTTTGCATCGATCACGTGACACTCGAACACATATCTCCCATATTTATTTCCAATTTGATAGCCCCTATAGCTTTTAGACCCCTTGATTGAATCATATATCATCAAGCGACATTCACATAGTTCATCCATCGGTATGCCAAGCTCTTTGACAATACAAATTGGGAAAATATTGAGGCCATATCCATCATCAATCAAATTATACTTACTCTCTACTCACACACAAATAAAACCATAAATAAGGGACGATTATGGTGTGTTTCACCAAGCAAAAGATCATCACTAGTAAATGTGATTTTTGCATTACAAGTGTCAAATTCTTCAAAGGGACACCCAGTGGGTTTTTTAGATAATGGAAGTGGAAGCAATGATGGATCTTCCTTCTTTGTCTCTTCCTCATCTGCCTTACAACATGAGGCTTTGAATATCCACAGGAAACTTGCGCGCATAGCCATCTTGGCAGGAATTTTTCCAATGTCACTGGACGACGTAGCCTTTGATAGTGATTCTCATCCATTTTTTTTGTCAATTCTTCTTTATCATCTTCTTATTGGGTCTTTTCACCATTTTCCCCTAGTCAATTGCTTATTTGATTCCCTTTGTGAATTTATCTTGTAGCATTTGCGTCGAGTCACAAGAATCCAACCGTCATTATCACTTTGACCAGCACGTGATTCACTTTCCTCTTCAGATCCTTCCTCCGCTATTATTTTATTTACTATAGAGAGAAACAATGATGTGTTCGCATTGATAGGCTAAAAGTTACCAATTTAATTATCTTTGGTGGTGATGCAGTTCGGATGCCATCACATTTATGTACTTCAGCAAAATTGCAAAGGGCAATGGGATCAAGTGAACCAAAAGTGACGGAGACTTGATTCGAACCTTCCTTCTCATCCTCGAGCAAGATTTTTCCTTCAGCGGCCAAGTTCATGACTTTCTCCTTGAAGATGAAGCACTTTTCAATAGGTGGCCAATCAACCGATGATACTTATAATAATTTGGATCATTAGTCCTTCCAGCTTCGTCTGGCCGCTTCATCTCAGGCAACTCAATGAGTTTCAACTTAAGGAGTTCTTAAAAAATTGTTGGAACATTAGAGTCCAAGAATGGATATTCATTCGCTCGCACTTCCTTCAGAGTTAACATTCGGCCAGCTTTATCCTGCAAGGATGTTGTCTTCATACTTTGCTTCTTACTCACTTTTGTAGTAACCTTTAATGGCGAGACATTAACATTCATTGATTCATTGCTCTCAGACTTGAACACAAATTTGCCTCCTTTCTTTATTTCTTTTTTACCCTTCCCTTTGCGAGATTCATAAATGGGTGGTCCTTGATTTCCACTTGAAGACATGCTTAACTCCATGTCATGAGCACGTGTAGCTAATTCTTCAAAAGACTTAGGCTTGATACCCTGTAGGTTGTAGTGAAGTCCCCAGTGCATTCCTTGGATACACATTTCTATTCCAGAAGCTTCACTAAGTCTGTATTTGTAGTTGAGGCTTGCATTCCTCCATCGATTGATGAAATCAACAACCGGTTTATCCTTTCATTGACGCCTATTTGTGAGTTCAAGTATACTTACAGTGTACCTTGTGCTATAGAAGCGATTGAGAAATTCATGTTCTATTGTAACAAGTTATACTACTAATCTAAAAGTTCAATTTTTACACCATTAATAGTATAACTTGTTACAACATATTAGTTACCATTGTTTCTTAAAGTACCATCAATTCAATTTTACGCAACGATAATAAATGAGTTACACGCCTTTCGATGAAGTTAATCTAACAACTGACGATTAAGTGGCAGCTCTTCATAATAAGGCAACATAAAGAAAAATAAAGTAGGCCATAGCCAATTAAATCGTAATTGATACCATAAAAATAATGTAAAGCTAGTAATTTCCAAAATGACAGTTCGATAATCAAGAAGTTATTGTATGGTCTGACGCCTTAAATTGGGTGACTTATTCAAAGCACAACAATAATTACTGCTTAATGGTTGATATTTCCAAAAGTGACACTCAATCAGACTTTTGAGTTTTGTCTCTTCCCTAATCATACAAGGATCTTATTAAAAACTCAAAATAAAATCGGTATCCTATATATTATACTCCCACTCGTTCACTTTTACTTAGCATGTATATTAAAAATAAATTTTCATTTTTACTTGTTACTTTACGCTATCAAGAGAAGATAATTTTTTTTATCCACAGTATTTATTACTCATTTCAAATTATTTTCTTAAATTCAATAAAATATGCATCAATTAATATGGATATCATGGTAAGTTATGCACTTCACTTATTATTTTTTAAGGGGCGTGAAAAGTCAAAACGTGTCAAGTAAAGTGAACGGAGCGATTAGTTAAAACATGAACACTATGAGGTATAGTATTTTTGGCAATACCAAAGTTGATATGCTGGTGTGGCATCTGGATTTCTTCATCGTTTTTCTTTAATTTCTTTCTTTTCTCATAATTCTATCACAAGGAAGCTGTAATTCCTCTTTTAGTTTTGTAAAGTAGGAATATGGTTTATGACCTGCTTTACCTTGAAATAATTCGGTGATATTAATAAAACCTTGCCCCTTGCAGGACTCCAAGTTTAATACTAGGTAGTTCAATTCAAAAGAGAAAAAAAAAGAAGAAAAAGATCTTAAATTCTACTTCATCGTTTACTTTTATTTGTCCACTATTAACTTTGTACGCCGTCCCTTAAGAAATACTCCAATAAATAATGTGCATAATTTGCTATGATAACCATATTATTGATGTATAGTCTTAATGGATTTGAAATGATTAATTAATGTTACGGGCAAATCAGGAAAAATAAATTACTTTTCTCTTGATATGCGAAAAAATAACAGTAAAAATAAAAATTTATATTTAAAATACTTGACAATTAAAAGTGAAGGGAGGGAGTAAGCTCGTATAGTAATTGGTCAAGAAATCATTGCACCCTCCGGTCCAAAATAAGTGATTTTTGGTTTTTTTCTTGTGGTCCAAAATAAGAGATTTTTCCGAATTTTAAGAATGAGTTAATTATTTTTTTTCTATATTGTCCTTGGAGTAAATAATGTTGGAGTATGCGTTAGGAATGTTTATGTGAAGAGATAGTAAAGGTTAATAGGATCAATTTCATTGTTAATTAATGTTAAAAGATGAATTTCTTAAAACAGCCGAAAAATTACTACTTATTTTGGACCGAATAAGTATCTAGGGTGAGGAGTTAATTAGTAGTTTCCCATTAACTAATTAAGTTAGTAGTTGATGGTTGATATTTCCCAGTCTCCAAAGTGACATTTCAGTAACCAAAGCGGTGAATCATTAAAGTATATCAGTTGTGTTATATATTTGAAACTAATTCGCCATCAGTGAAGGTGTCCTGCAGAGTTTAGTTCATCTTCCCCTTTGATCTTTCTTTCCTTGTTTCACGTACGGACCATTATATTATGGCACGCAGTAGTAATTGGTTGCGCCGCCTGTGTAAGAAAGGAGTGAAAACGGAGGCTGAACAATTACTAGAGGCAGTCAAGCCTCTCAAACTTGTTAATAATGACACATCCGTATTTACACCCACTGCTGTGATCTCCTTATTTCTGTTTGTTAAGCAATACATCCGTTATATTAGGTTGTTCTTGAGCATTTCAGACCCCATAGTGATGAAGGAGACTGCGCTTGCCGCTGCTCGAGCTGGCGTATTTGATCCCTCCAAGCTGTCTGTGGCTGGTGGCCAATCCAAGTTAGGCCCAGCAGGTTCGTTCAACCGCGCGCACTATATATTATAAAGAATGTTGTTTGTTAGAAATATAATAATTCGACCATAAGGGACTAATTTTAATAAGGCTTTTAAAGGAAAGGGCCACTGATAGAGTTGGGCACAGACCTGTTGTCACGCCGAAGTGAGACCTGTTTTTGAAAATGTTGCAATGCGATGCGGTGTGGGGCGGTACGTGTCTTCGTGGGCTAAGGTTAAACCCGTATCGCAACTGCCCCGTTCCACCCCATTGCCATCCTGATTAGCTGGCAACCTACGAAATTGGAATTGCTCTATAGGAGTACCTTGCAAGCCAATTCGCATGCAGATAGTAGTATTATTGTTGTACCGTTGACTCTATTTGTTTGTGTTTTTTTTTTGTATTATATATATTATTGCTCTCTTTTTCCAGCTTAGAAGAGGTATCTCACCCTGCTAGACAGGCAGTTGTGTCAAAAAACTCTTTCATGTACAGTGGATCTCTGTACAGCAACTTAATCATGGATCAGTTTATGCAGATATACTTAAGGTTTTAGAATGGATGAAATCAGCTGAAGGAGATAGCTGCATGCGCTTCATCTACAGGAGGTGGAAGCTAGAAAAGAATAGGGGCGGAGGGAGTGTTAATTACAGGTTTGGATCGACGAACCTAATAGCTTTTTGCCTAGACATTATATTTGTATTAGAAATCTATTAAATATGTATAAATACTTAATTGCGAACCAGTAACTAACAAGCAATAGATTCGATTGCAAATTCAGAACTCATAAACTTTAAATTCTGACTCCGTGTTTGGAAAAGAAGGTGCAGAAGCTAGAGACGATGGTCGAATCTTTGCGTACTCTCGACACAACTCCATGAGTATAAAGCTGAGATAAAAGAGATTGACCGTGAGCTTCTGAAAGAAAAGAATGCCTTCATAAAGAGTGAGCCAAAGTAATAAAATCTGAAGGTTCCATCATCCCTTTTTAATTAGTATACCTATTTGACATATCAAGAAGGAGCAGTCATTTCAGTTCTTGCCTCCCTTGTTTATTTCTGTGTATCCCAGTGAAACCAACTTTTTGAATCCTGTCGATTTTACAGGACATGCTTTATTATTTTTGGGGGGATAATCTTTTTGTAGTAAAGTATTTGATAATTCTGCCCGCTGAAACTAAAGCATATAGGAAATCAACTGTTATTTGTCTTTAGTTGGAATTCGAGCTTTGGTTTTTAATGTTTGCATCCACTTATTTGGCCAAAACTCAAAAGGTCAACCTTGGACACGAGGGCCATTTATATCTATACCCGCTTTTTAGGTCACGTTTTAATTTGTACTTGTTTTGCAAAGAAAATTACAAGCATACTCACTTTTTCACGTAACTTTAGCATATGGGATTGAAGTAGCAAAGACAATCACGCAAAACTTCAGCATTCTAGTAGACGGGACTGAAGTAGCAAGTGTGCTGAAGTTTTTGTTGTAATTGCTAAACTTAAGAATAGTAGCTGAAGTTTTGTTCTCTATTTGCTGAAGTTTTTGTTTTTGTAACTGGTGATCTTCAGCTCTATAGCTGAAGTTTTTGTTTTGTAACTGTAGAGCTAAAGTTTTTGTTTGTAACTGGCGAACTACAGCTCTAGAGCTCTAGGGGGCATGTTGTACCCAGACGAAGTAACTTAAAGCAACATTAACAGGAACCAAGAAACATCAATACATTACCAACCCAATCGACAATTGAAATCTCCAATTTCCGCAGACCCAATTCACCAAACAACAATATAAAATTAATAATTAATTTCTCTTGTCCCATTTTCACATCAAAATTGTGCATAAGTTTCAAGTTGCAAAATCAAGATAGAACCTTTAAAGCTAAGGGTGTCGGCGAAAAGGAAAAAATGATTGAAAGGAGAAATAAGAAGAAGCAGATAAAGATGAACCCTACTTCTGAAAAAAGAAAAGATAAAACTTTGAGGAGGAGAAGGAGGAGGAGAAAGGGGGCTGAAGTTGTTTAAAAAGTGAGTACAAGTTAAATTTTTTTAAAAAAAATGAGTATAGGTTAAATGGGGGCGACCAAATAGGGCGCCCCGTGCAATTTTTACGACATGATAGGCGTTCGGATACTTCGGATTGGAGATAGAAATTTAAGCTTGAATTTTTTATTTTCAAATTAAAGAAATGTCAACCTAAATCCAATCAAGATAAGTTCGGATTGGATCGTGATTTTAGATTAATCGGTTTGAATATTTAGGATTTTTAGTTTTGTGCCAAGTTTGTGATGTCTCTTCCTCTTACAAAAATGAACATTCAAATGAAGTATTCATATTGAATTGCCTACAAATATCGTTCTCACCGCAGTCATCTAAATAAAGTATTGAAGTAATAAAATTGTTATTAAACAAATGCAGCAGAAACATTAATAAGGCTAATAAAAAGTAGCTATTGCAAAATTATGTCTAAGACAAAAAGATTTTTAATAGTAACTTAGTAATTAGTATTGAATATATGAAATAATGTCTAATTGGTATGGTATAAGACTTATTACTATTGGCAAATTGAATAGTAAAAAGTTTTGAATTTTTGGATATCTAAATATCTAAAGTACCAACTTCAACGTCCAATCTGAAATTCAAATTTTAAAGTAAAACTTCAATTCAAAATTCAATGTGTAATCTGAAAATCTAAGCCAAAAAGCCAAAAAATTCGAATTTCCGTTGGAGCTCGGCTTCCCAAACTATGCCATCTCCTCTCGAATGTTCTATTGATTCTTGAACTACGCAGTATTCGGCTTTAATGGAAATATCAAGTTTAGATGGCCGAATTTTTAACAAAAGGCAGGTTTTTGGATTTTCCGCAGTTCAGAATTCGGTGGCATCTCGCTCTTATTGGAGTTCATTTTTGTCTTATTGGAGCTATTTTTGCAACTGACACTCTGAAATATGTTTTTGAAGATTCATTATAACTACCATGTATTTTGACTATTACATATATTACACGAATTTGAGGCTACTTGTACATACGTGAGATTTATTGGTAACATGGGACCTCCAATTTGAACTAATTCACTTAGTATTTTCATAATATTGTATTTCTTCTTATATTTACATGCTTGTAAGTTTCCGTAGAGCTAAGTTTTTTTCTCTAAGGTCCTTTGGTTTGGGAGTTATTCTAAGATTATAATGACGGGATTATAATACGGAAATTATATATTACCTTGGGTTGGTTATCCAGGAGACGGGAGATCGACGAGGATGTCACATTCCACATTGGGGTGGGGTGGATGAAGTGGTGGTCAGCATCTGGAGTCCTGTGTGACAAGAAAGTGTCATTGTTACTCAAAGGTAAGTTTTATAGACCGGTGGTTAGACCGGCCATGATGTATGAGGTTAATTGTTGGCCAGATAAGAACTCACATATCCAAAATATGAAAGTAGCAGAAATGAGGATGTTGAGGTGGATGTGCAAACACACGAGGATGGATAAGATTAAGAATGATGATATTCGGGAGAAGATCGGCGTGGCTCCCATTGATGACAAGATGCGGGAAGCGAGATTCGGATGGTTTGGGTATGTACAAAGGAGAAGCCCAGATGCACCAGTGAGGAAGTGCGAGCGGCTGGCTTTGGAAGGCACGAGAAGAGGTAAGGGGCACGTAAGAAGTATTGGGTAGAGATGATCAGGCATGACATAGCGCGACATCAAATTTCCGAGGACATGGCCCTTGATAGAAAGCTGTGGAGGTCGAGTATTAGGGTGTTAGGGTTGGGTCGTAACTATGTGAGGCTAGTCTTATAGAATTTTTGGCTTAGACTGCTAGTGGTTAATGTTGTGTTCTCACTACTCTTTCGTTTTATAGTGTCGGGTCTATTTACTAGTTATTGATATTGTTTCATCTATTTTCTAGCTTTTATGATGCTGTTATTATTCCTTGGTTTCTGTTGACGGTACTGATATATTATCTCTTTCGTCTTCTTGAGTCGAGGGTCTTTCGGGAATAGCCTCTATACTCCCTTGGGGTAGGGGCAAGGTCTGCGTACACACTACCCTCCTCAGACCCCACTAGTGAGATTTTACTAGGTTATTATTGTTGTTGTTATTGGAAATAGTAATGAAATATATCTAGTGAATATATTTTTATTGAGAGATGTTTAGTTCATTGGATTAAATATGGGATATACGAAGTATAATATAAAATATATTTTTAGTATATACTAGTACTAGATAAGTTGGGGTAACTTTTATTTTCAATTTTAACCTTGAATATGTTAATGGGCATTGGGGAAGAGCCGTGGGAAAGGATATCTTTTTTTTTTTTGGTAATTTGAAAGGATATCTTTTGTCACTGAGTTATTTTATTCGAGATTAAGTAATTTCAGGATTATTATTATCCTGCCCTCAATGTAGGTAGAATTATACCACAATTGTGTTATAAATTATTCCTGGAATTGCTAATCCTGCATATGAAAATTCAACAAACATGAAAAAAACATAAACTAATCTTGCATTTAATTTTGAGATTAGTATCGCTTACCCCACAAATCAAATGACCCCTAAAAGAATAAGACATAAGTTACACAGGGGTAAACTTAGTGGTTAATAAACTGGAAAAAGAACTAAGAGGACCGAGGTTCAAATCTCATGGTATCATGGATAAAAATACTAATTTCGTGATAAAATATAAAATTATTTTAACTTGCACTTGGTATTCTAAAATTATTTTTACCAAAGTTTTAGATTATTCTTATATCTTATATCATATATCAGGTGGGACGGCAATTTTTGGGATTAGCTAATCTTACAATAAAACTATCAAAAGACAAAAGATATTCTTCTCCAAAGATCTTCTCCCAAAGTCTTTTAAGACTATCAAGGTAAAATTGGGAAAAAAGTATGTCCAAGCTTATTCTATGTAAAACCAAGTCATATTTTATATCATAAATCAAATATTTATTTGAAAAAATATATTCACAAAAAAGTTCTCGTTAGTTTTATTTAGTCTTTTTATTATATTTCCCATATTATAATTCTAATCTAATTTGTTTGCAGATACTACCCAAGATAAAATAGATAATCACGTGACTCCGGAATAATTTAAAAGAACGACGACTGAAATATTTGAGTCTATCAATTTCTCAATTTTCTTAAACAAATTTTAGTTTCTTCAAGCAATTTCTCAATTATTGTCATTTTCTTATTAATTTATATAAAAATTGCTATAAATCATATTATAAAATGAGTTAAAATTGTATGCATTGACGCGTAAAAAAAAATTTACATCTTAAAAAGCAAATGCTGGAATTACTTTCTCAAACATAATTGGTCACTTAAAAAAAAAAATACTCCCTCCGTTCCAGTTTACGTGAACCTATTTATTTTTTGGTTCGTTCCAAAAAGAATGACCCCTTCCTAAATTTGAAAATAATTTAGCTTAAACCTACAATTCTATCCTTAATAAGAAGATTTTATAACCACACAAATACTCTGGGCTCCTTTTTAATTTGTTTAGGATCACAAATTACAAAAATCTTAATTTTTTCCCGGTCAAACATGTTCACCTTAATTTAAAAAAAAAAACAATCTTCTTAAATACAGGTGAAAGTACATCGATATATGTACACTTTTTGACTTTTGAAAAGCTAATGGTGGAATTAGAATGTATTTCCATCTGAAGCGTTAAATAGTTGGCCAGATAAAATCTGTTGTCTCTTGGCCAACCCAATTGTTAGACGAGAGAGATGGGCGACGACGGGGTAAAGAACGAGGCAATGGAGATAATGGGGATGTTCCAAGCGCTGCCTCGTCTCGTCGTCTTCGATCTCGATTACACTCTCTGGCCTTTTTACTGGTAATTTCCATCTTTTTCTATTCCCTTTAACAAGTTGATTATTTCACTGACTACCTGCATTCAGCACAGATATGGCGTAATTCTGTCTCCCAAGGTTTGGGCGGATGAAATCAAATCACCTAGCTTTTTTATTCCAAATTTCATACAATCACTCGTTTATTCTGGACTCCATTTACATCCTCCGTTTCTTTTTACAATTATTTTTGGCTGTTCTCTTCTGTAATTCTATTGATCATGATGGGAAAGCTTCATTTCTTTTGTCTTACCCGTAGGCTGCTAGGTAATGGGCTTGCAACATAGTTATTTACAGATAACTGGTATACTACCGTGTTTTAGTATAAATATCTTCATGTAAGGTACCATATCGGATACATATTATCCACGTGTAGTGGAATATTTTAGCTATAACAGCAATCTTTTTAAGGCAAATTATTTTCCCCTACTGGATGGAATAAAATGGGCTTGTATAGAGTGGAATGGTTGTCAAGGATTCGTATAGCCAAATACCACTAGTTTGGGATTGGAATGTAGCTGATCTGCTTCTGACTCTATCATCAACAGATAGAGTCACAAGCAGCAGATCAAGGACTGTTTTATTTATGTGTGAATGTATAATGGGAGAGTGACATTCATATTTATGCAAGGTAAGTGGTTAAGAACTTTAAGGGTGTTCATAGTTTTCAGTTTCTAGCCTGAGTAATTGGTAGGCCAACTTGAGATAGGAGAGTGCTTGTTGAGGCTATTAGTTGATCATGTTTGTGGTTAACCTCTCAAGTTTGTTCAGCCATGTCGTTGCAGCTTATTACTAATGAAAATAGAAATGCCATGATTTTGAAATTCTCTTGAAAGTTTGGCCAACGAAAGACTCGGATCATGTTTACTATTGTCATATTGCGTATTTCGTTAATAAGCAGGGAAAACATCCAATTCCGTCTTAAGAGGATGAACTGATTGATATGAAGATAAGTTGTTTAAAGAGGTGACATATCAGTGAATTCTGATGATAAGGAATTAGGAACCACGATAAATTGCTGTGATCTACTTGAAAAGGGAAACCAGATAGAGATTATAACAACTGAAAAGGAAGTTTGTGCTTCTTGCAAATTGCAAGCATGACATTATTTAGTGTTCTGTTTTGGCTAAAGAAATAGTAACATCAGATCTGGAAACACTGATAATTGGAATTTGGAACTAAGAAGTCACTCAAGGAAACCTTGAATCTCAACGTAGATTGCAAGTGTTAGTGCAATTCTGGAATTTCGATTTTTATTAGAAGCTAGTTGCAAAAGCTTGGTCCATAACAATTTGATTTCAGGTGTGCCATGTTTTCCTTCCATTGAGGACTACTAGAATCGGGGGCATATATGTTTTTTATTATCCATGTTCATTATAATTCAGTTAATAAGGACATGTAAGAGTTGATAGAAGGATAAACATTTTGTTCAAAAAGCAAACGCCAATGGTAGATCAACCAAATTCATTTGATAAAGATATTGGTTTAATCAACTTGAATATAAACCATACAGGATCTCGGACCCACGGAATAACCTAATGGCTTGCGATGCTGTTGGCCAGATTATGAAGGTATAGTAGGTGTGATTCAATATTAGCTTGTGGGATAAAAATGCTTTTTGGTGGGCCATTCACATGCTCTACAAGACTCGGGAATTTCAGGGCATCGAGAAAGATAGGCTGCTGATATAGGTGGTTGTTGAAGTCAATGAACAATTCTAACATATTATGACCATTGGATTTCAGAAGTAAGATGTGTTTAAGATGGAAATTTGTATTTAGCAAGGTCTGTTCTGGATTTAAGTTGGTCCATATGTAATGGTATCCGGTGCTTAGAATTTTGTAGGTAAGGGTCGTTCACTTGTTTGAGGGATCTGCTCGTCGGCATTGAACTGACAGAGGTAGATTCTTAGGGTGTATTTTTTACCTTTTCATACTCGCTCTTTGAGAACCAAGTCATACACGGCCATATGAAAATTCTTGAGCTCTTTGTCACATAAGACTGTTGAAGTGTATCCATGACTCGACTTTTGAATATTCCCCTAACCTTTTTGTTTCCTGGAAATAACATTTGCATTTTTTGTTAAAATTCTGCTTAAAATTGGTGTTCTGATAATTTTTTCTGCTTTCTTCTAGTGAATGCCGCTCAAAACAGCAAATGCCATATTTATATCCTCATGCCAAAGACATTTTATATGCCCTCAAGGACAAGGGAGTTAATATTGCTATTGCCTCAAGATCACCGACGCCTGATATAGCAAACACTTTTCTTGATAAGTTGGGCCTAACATCAATATTTGCAGCCAAGGTGAGATGATGGAAAACTTTAAACTACTTTCGACCTTACTCCTTTTGGTGTACTCACACTCAATTTTTTCCTTATGGCTAACTTTGTTTTCCATTTAGCTTTCCCTTACTTTTTACAACATAACACAACTTCCTTTTGTAGTATGAGTTGACTTCCGCTAACTCACTTCTTGGTTTTAGAAAGCAAAATACACTAGGACCAAAAGTGTATAGAAAATGACGAAAATAAAACTTCTCTAATTCCTTATGGTAGGCTGAAGCTGAGCATCCAATTTCAGTGTGTGAAGTAAGAGGTCTAGTATTGTCTGATTCGTGTACTCGTTTACAGGTAGGTTTCTTACATGGTTGTGTGTAATTATGTAGTACGGGCGTGTTTAAAAGCACAGCCCGGTGCACTAAGCTCCCGTTGCACATGGGATTGGGAGAAGTGTCCGACCACATTGGGCCAATTCTATGGGTATTTCTAGCATGTTCGGATTTTTTTCGTATTTTAAAATCTACATGAAGTACACCCATCCATATCACCATTTGGCATGGGCACGTGAAGCAAAATTAAAGATACATGTAACATGAGGAGCACCCAGATTTGTGGTAATATGGCTCAAATGCTAGAGGACTTGGTATTGGATCTCATCTTGTAGCACAGATCTTCTTTAAGGAACACGAAGGGCATGACTTACTTGGAAGGTATGGTTAAGTCTCAAGAATGCATGGGCACGTGAAGCAAAATTAAAGATACATGTAACATGGGGAGCACCTAGATTTGTGGTAATATGGCCCAAATGCTAGAGGACTTGGTATTGGATCTCATCTTGTAGCACCGATCTTCTTTAAGGAACACGAAGGGCATGACTTACTTGGAAGGTATGGTTAAGTCTCAAGAATGTTATGAGTATGTCTCTCAAGAATGAGGTCATACGTGGCTGGGAATTGTGATAGGCAAAAACCATGAACTAGAATTTTGAATTCTTGAGAAGTAAGAAGTTATTTAGTGGATAAAAAACTACAGCATAATGCACCTGCAGCTACTAGGGCCAAATAATAGAAGGATTTTGCACTAAGCATCTTTCATAATAAGCCAGGTCTTTATGACAAAAAGAGAGGGGGGTGGGGGGGGTGAATAAAAAAGTGCTCTAATGCTATTAGCCTAACGTTTTGTCTGCAATAGTATAGCTAGGGGTGGGCAAACCCGAAGTCCGAATTTTTTAGATTTTTGGTTTGTATTTTCGGATTACGGATTGGATTTTGGATTGGATATTGGATTTGATACTTCGATTTTTTGGATATCCGAAAATCCGAAATTTTTATACTTTATATTTAGTCCATTATCCATATGCAAATAGTAATAAGTTCAAATATTATACCCAATAGATATTATCTCATATATTCAATATTAATCTAAGTTACTGTCAGAATACTTTCTATTTGGACATGGTTTTACTATTGCTACTCGTATTGGCTGTATTAATGTCTCTATTACATTTTCTTGATAATAATTTCAATACTTGAATATATATTTGGATGACTGCAGTGAGAATGAGGAACTTTTCAGGCAATTTAACATGAGTACTTCATTTGGATATTCATTTTTGTAAAAAGAAGAAGCATCTCAACTTATAAGCTCAAAACCGAAAATCCAAAATATCAAAATCGATTAATCCGAAACCGAATTTAAAATATCCGATCCAGTCCGAGCTTATTCTTCAATCAGAAAATTGAAAAACCAAATCGAAATTTTCATATCCAATCCGAGCAGCCCGACCGCCCACCCCTAAGTGTAGCTAAGTTTTAGACATAAGCACTAGAACATCCTATTGTTTTATCAAGCCAAGGAGCCCTGAGGAAACTAAAACTCTGAAATCACTGACAAAATTGTCTTTAACTCGATATTTTAATACAGCACCTTCAAGCACTGTACGACAAACAATCTGAAACACTCATTTCCTGTCAACCAAAGAAACTACTTTGAAAGAAAGAATAAAATTGAGTACTGAGCATAATTTTAAAAAAATAACTAACTGATATAATCATATAATGCATCCAGTTCTAAATTAAAGCACTGTCACGATGGTGCTGCTACACTTCTTTGCTAACTGTTACAAATAGCTGTACTGTTTACATTTGTCAACGAGATTTTCTCATGAATCACGTTCTCTACAGATTGGTTTCCTCAGCCTTTTAGGGATAATGATTTTGAGAACTCGAACTTTATTTGTAGCTGCTGGTATTATAAACCAAACTTAATGATAATAATATCTGAAAGTTGACATCATGAATGCAGCTGGATTTTAACTTTTTGCAGCTCTAAAGTGCGATATATGGGTTTGGCCATAATCTGAACGCTTAGAATTGCAGGAAATATTTTCCAGTTGGACACACAAAACCGAACACTTTCAGAAGATCAATAGGAGGACAGGGGTGCCTTATAAGGAGATGCTGTTCTTTGATGATGAGGATCGTAATATAGAGTCGGTAAAAATCTCTTCCCTGTGAAATTTTCTCAGGAAAAAAAAACTTTTCCATGTGAATCGCGTGATGCTTTTCTGTTGATCTTTCTATCATTTCCCACTTGTTACCTGAGGCTAATATCATCTATAGTACTGTCATGTACTTCAGGAGACTCACTAAGAGTACATGGTGGTTTGATATTGTAGGTTTCGAAGATGGGCGTGACAAGCATATTGGTGGATGATGGGGTAAATCTTGGGGCTTTGAAGCAGGGTCTCTCAGAGTTTGCTCAGAATTCAGCTTCAGGGAAAAAGAACAAAGAAAAACGGCTGCCAGATTCATCAAAAAGCAATGAGCTACAGTAATCCAATTGTTCAAGATCCCCACTTGCATTTAAGGGGTCATATGCAGTTCGACATTTGCATTTTGATACATTTAAGAAATTTTTTATGTCAATATGGAACTTTTTGAACAATTGTATGCATTAAAAGCGGTGGTTATCTCTGTTATCAGCTTTGAATCTTTGAATTTGATATATCCATTTTCTTTCACAATAAAACAGACCAATTATAGTTCCTTTGAAGAGGTGTTTTAGCATGCTCAAGCCATTATATAAGGCCTGCTCTCTGCCAGTTATTTTGGTGTTGCAGTATGTCAAATACACTTCCAACGTAAGTAATCATATAACATTCTCAAAATTTATATAAACTGAATATTTTCATAACTTGTCAAAGTAAGAGAGGTAATTGTAACATCTGGGCCTTTTTTAAAAAAAAAAAATAAAAAAAAAAAATTTAGCAACATTCTCAAAACTGTAGAACTAGAGTTAACAATGTAATATCAGTATATGACTATAAATTAACAGTTTTAAGATGACGTTTAACTAGATTAAGTAAAAATGTAAGTTCTAAGACTTAAAGACTAACCAATCTTCCTTTAGAAAAGGAACCACAGGTTAGTCATTAGTGACCAGCACATGAACCAATATACCAGATTTCCATATTTCTTTTAGCAACAAGAAGAATATTTGATTACATTGGAAAAGAAATGCAGAAAGTTCCAAAATCCGTGAGTCTCGTCTGTTTGCCATCCAGATTTGCAAATCTTGGAGAACTCCACAACAAAAGGTTTTTTTTTTTCTTTTGGTGTTTGAAGTACAGAACTGCTCCCCCATTTCAAAAATGGCCTAACAGTTGAGCTCTACCAATGGAGTTCTTTCATCAGTTCCTGTTTTGGCAGTTGAAAAAGGAGTTCCAGTATATTGGCCTCTTCCTAAATTACTAAGTGGTGGCTCTTTTACTTCCTCAGGGTTCCCCAATATTTTTTCTAGATGGCTTACAACTGCAACATTTTCAAAGCAAACTTCACTGATTCTTCCATTGATTCCTTCCATTTGTATTAGTAATTCCTCCCTATCAACTGAAAGATTCTTATTTTCTTCAAGCAAATCATTTTTCTGAGCTTCAATCTCCTGAATTCGGGCCTCCAAATGCATCCGTTCATTGCCAAAATGAGCTTTCAGCTCATCCAATTCCTTTTTACTTGCTTGCAACAATGTTTCCAGCTGCCCCTCCTTCTGTCTTGAATCAGACAAGGATTTATTTAGAAGTTCAAATTTCTGATGTGTATCACCTAATTTCACCTCTAACTCAGCAATCACATTGTTTTTCTCTTTAATCTCAAGCATTTTTAAACTCTCAGCAGTCTCCAAAGCTGTAAAATCAATTTCTTTACAGATTACATCATCCTCCAAATCTTTGGCCCGTTCAAGAAGATGTTGTATTTCCCCGTCTTTCTCTTTCACAGTCAGCAAAAGGCTCTCCTTCTCCTGATCAAAAGCCTTCTGAGCATCTGATTGTGCTTGCTCATTTTGAAGGTCTTTATCAGCCAACTCTTGCTCCAAGCAAGAAATCTTAGTTTGAAGAATTTCTAGGCTACTATCCTTGCCTTTTGCAATTTGACAATATTTTAGCTTCTCCTGATTTAAAGCTTCCACTGCCTCTGTTCTTTCAACAATCTTCAACTCGAGTTCTGTAATCTCTTGTTGTAGCTCATTTGTTTTGGCTTCTCTCTCTTTCAAAATCCCAAGTAAGCTCTCCTGCTCTTGCTTTTGGGCGAACCGGTTCTCTTCAAGGTAGTCTTTAAGCTTTCCTGCTTCAGCTTTCCACTTCTCTAGTTCAAGTTTGCTCTCTTTGACTTCAGCCCTTGCTTTGGCCAGGTCAGCTTTGGCTTCTTCTGAAGCATCAGAAGCATCTTTCAGAGCATTACCCAATTGCAGGACCTGTCCCCTGAGGTGAAATTGGCAATCAGATGACTCTTCAAGCATCTTTTTATACTCACTCAGTTCTGCCTCTAAAAGGATTGCTTGTTCACACTTCTGATGTAGATTTTTGCTATTCGGTTCCAGATCCGCCTTTGCTCTAGAGAGTTCCTTGCTCAAGGCATGGATTTCTGATTTTAAGACCATGATTAACACAGATATCTCACCATTAAGAACATCACACGCATCACGGCAATTTTCCAGCTCTTTTTCTAGCTCTTCTATGTGCTTTTCTTTACCTTTCAATTCAGACATGCATCTGTTCATAACTTCTGTAACTTTTCCTATCTGAGAGCTCCATTCAGCTTCTTTTTCTTTGAGGTTTAAGGAACACTTTCTGTGTAACTGCTTCAAATCCTGGAAATTGGTACGCAGTTTCTTCAGTGCAGAAGTGGAAGCAGCATCCTGGAGTTGAGCCTCTTGAATCTCTTTGAGAGATCCTCGTAACTCTTTATTTTCCTGTTCAATCTGCATACTTTGGCATTTTAGATCCTTGAACAGTGTCTCTTTTATTCGGAGTAAGTTTCTTAACTCTCCAATTTCTTCACCCCTCTTGATGGTCAACTTCTCGAGCTTTGAGTTTGCTTCTTGGCACTCTAAAGAGATATCATGAAATCGAGATCTGAACTCAGACACTTCAATTTCCAGAATTCTTCTGCTTTCTTGATGTGCTAAAGCTTGGTTACACATCCTCAATTGGCTTTGGAGGCCTTCTGAGATTCGAGTCTGAGAATCCAACCTTTCTTGCAATGACGAAATCTCTTCAAGCATTGCTGACTTCTCCTGTCCCCACTCCACCTTACTAGTTTTGAACTGATCATGGATCCTTTCATGAGCTTCTTCAAGGTGTTTAAACTGCTCGCCCTTCCATTTCAGCTGATCTTTTGCAATCCTATTTTCTTCCTCAAGTTTTTGGATAATGTCGTCTCCATCTTTCAGATCCTTGGATGCCGGTGCTTTTAGCTCTGATTCAATTTCCTGCCTAACTGACATGAGTTGCTTAAGAGCGTTGATTTCTTTATTACTTGTACCAATCTGCATTTCCAAATCTTGAATTCTGGATATTGCTTCATCCAAAGAGAACACCAAATCCTTGTTCTGTACCTCCAACTTTCCAATTTTCTCCCTATAATCTTGTTGCAGCTTCTCATGAGCAGAACTAAGATTCTGGAGACATGATTCTTTCTCATGCAGACTGGACTTTAGGTCATCACAGAGTTTCTTGATCTCAAATATTTCCTCAGATTTGACAAATAAGTCATTTGCCCCTCTTTCAGTTTCCAGCTTAGCTTCTTGAAGTTTCGCTAATTGGTCAATGTGGGCTTTCCGCAAACTCTCCGTCAAATCCGATTTGGTCCGGCACTCTTCTCTGAGCTTTTCCACCTCTCCTTTAACAGCATCTAGCTCCTCATAAACTTTGTCCATTTGCCTAGCTTCTTATGTTGATTATGATTTTTCTGATGCACAAACACAAGTCCACGAATTATTTTCGTTTTTTCCCTTCACATTAATGCTTCAGCTGAAAGGATAAAAGACAATTTTCACTTTCAAAATGAATCATCAGAGTATAAAGAACTGTTGAACAACAAACAAAGCTATTTTACCATCTATAACCACTCTCCCAAGGGGAATTATCAATCACTAACAAAATCAAGCTTAACAGAAGCTGTGCCTCATCGATCCATGAAATGTACTAATTCGACAATAAATAGACAAACAAAGACATAAGCAATTATCCTCCGTCTCTCAAACTCAGGGGTGAAGCTAAAGAAGGTAAGGGTTCAATTAAATCCCCTTAGCCAAAAAATTGTACAGTTCAAATAGGGGAAAATGAAGCCTTTTTGGTTAAACGCGAACAGTTGAATCCCTTTTGGCATAAGAGAAGATTCTAGTGTAGTGGCAAAGTGGGTTAAAAAAATGCTCTAGATCAGGGGTCCAAATCATAAGTGCGACGCTTTAATATTCTTGTGAATGCTCTGGTGTGAATTTCTAACTCCGCCGCTGATCAAACTGTCTAAATAATCACTACTGCGTCTGAATTGGAGTCAGCCGTATGAATCTTCTGTAACATGTCTTCCCTATTCAGGTCCATTTAATAGTTCGTGCCTAGTGAACACGTCCCAACAAATCCAAAAGAACTTTGACTATTTCTACCCCGAACAAGTTCCAAAGCTTTTATAGGCGAAATTGACTAAATAATCACTACTCTTACCAAAAAAAAAAAAAAGTCGAACTTTTCATTATCCTTTAACCCTGTTTTCAGGAAAGAAAGATTGCACAATGAAGAAAATCTTGAGGTTAACCAAATTATACAGGACACCCACGAATCGATTGACCAAATCGAGAAAAGGCTCAATAATAACTTGAAGACACAGAGAATAACAAGACATTTCTACAGCAATTGGGAAGCAAAAGACACTATAAATGCACATGAGAAAGATTTCGGAGCTATATGAGACCACTATTAAACAATTCGAAACATAATGAAAATTTACCTTTTATTAGAAACATAAAATAGTGGAATTCACTGGTATAATCGGCTGTCGTTATCAAAATATTAGGGTTTTCTGGGAGCGAGAACTCCCCGGATGGTAGAAATTGGAATTGGAGAGGGGCTTTGAAGCGGGAACTTTCTTAGGTATGTTTTTTAAATTTGGAAAATCGCACCTCTATTTGTCTATTCATAAAAAAAAAACTCCCCGCTCCTTTTTTCCTTTTAAGGAAAGGGTTATATGTGTCCCTGTACTATCAAATAAATATATCCTTCTTTATACTATTCCATCCGTTATCCACTTAAACATATTATCCCTCTATTTAACGGACCCATTTCAAGTGGACACGTGGCGGCATTCTACACACCCTAACTCATTTTCCTCACTAATACCAAAACCCACCCCCGAAAAATCTAAATTGGTTCAACCTCCTCCATTATAAAGTACTTTGTTCATGTCAGAATAATTCATCCCCTTTTTTGCACCACCACTTTAAATCCATAAACACCTCTCGACCTACACAAAACTGCCATATCTTTCCACTAAAAACAATTGTGTATCAAACATATCATATTTGAGATCTTTTCACAAATACCCATAATTAGTAGATCATAAGAAGCTCTAATCTAACGACACAAATTTCACACCATCTCCTTCCTTCCAAAAACCACCTCGTTCGTCTAAGCTAGAAACACCACCAGTTCACCTTTCACCGT